GAGGGGACAGTTTCAGCTACGGCAGTCTTCACGGACTCGAAGACAAGGTTGCCAAACGCAAGATACAGACTTGAAAATAATATCATGGGGACTTCACGCCTTTCTCCGTGTCGCGATAATATTGATTATAGCTTGTGGGTGACGAGTAGAAGACTATGGGATCGGTTTTTTACGTATCCGTTGAGCTCTTACCTTGGACGCTTCCAGACCTGAGAAAGCACAGCCGGTGAGTTCTTTCATTAAACGGAAATGAATTTGAGTCGGAGTCAGAGCATAGGTGATAAGGAATGCGCATGAGTCATTAAGACTGCCGCATCCGTCTCCAGAAAAGAAGGTACCACGTCGTATTAACTGCGGGTCGAAACTCATTTCATTCAAGGAAGCGCTCCCAGCTGTATGTGATGTTGTCCAGATCATCGGAGTTTGCGTGAGATGATCTAAGTACAAAAAACGAACATCTGTTAGAAGTTACTTATCTCTCATCTCATTGTTTGAGTTATTGTACAACAAATTCCGCTGCGTCGACGGTTAAGCTCATCCCGCACTAAGGTCAAGACTGAATCACTCAGAGGGGCTACCGGATTCTTTGCCATTGAGTCGTTCAAGAGCGTAGCGGGTAGCAGGCTTATTGCTAGCAGTTGACGCATAGGTGGTGACTGCTCCAGAAAAGGCAAGCTCACACTCCTATAGATCCCCAAACCACAGCTCCCAAAACGACTCTTGATTTCAAATACGTAGAAGAGTTTCGTCATTTCTTGATGCGTCCCCTAGAATAGTTCATCTTCTAACTTCTCAAGAGAATCGATAGAGTGAATGATTTCGGAGATACTCTCCTGACATTCAGATCCGGCAAAACATCGAAAAATCTTAATAAGATTGTCACATGAGCTCCATTTAGCTCATTACCTGAGGCGGATAAAGGTTTAGACGAAATTTTTGATACGATTTCCGCTTCTCCCCCAGTTCGGTCAACGCAGTCGTATCTAAAGGGTAAGAGTGATGAAGATATTGTTTCCCCCACGAGCGGTTGGTTTTGAGGGATACGCACCTCGACCAAGAAACTTTTGACGTATGGACGACTCTTTCTCGTCTCGGCGGCGCTCCATCTCGGCTACAAGGTCGACAACACGAGGAAAGGGACCAACACTGCCGATTCTTATTGAAATAGGCTTGCTGTCGTATGAAAATGCTATAGAAACCATGCACGAATTGGAACACACGAAAAGTATAGATCTTACATTTTTTAGGCTTTGTCGCTTCAAAAGATCTACGTATTTCTTGAAACATTTCGGCCTCGCGTTTTGCTCGTCGTGCCTCTAACTCGTCAATTCTCTGTTTGATCCTTCCGATGTCAGTAGTTGTGGGTGGCAATAGCCTCACAGTAAACGGCTGGTATGAGAATGTGATGAGATTGTGATATTGTCTTCCTTTGTGTATATATGGAGCTAGTATCTTAGCGTAAGCTAGAGCTACTCCGTGTTGTTATACTCATAATTACAAGATAAGTTTGAAGACTAAGTGTCCTCAACGACTCTGTGTGAGTTGTGTTGTGGTGATCAATATTATTCACTACAATTTTGGTACTGGAACCGAGAACATTCTCTTCGTGCAGATATTGTAACTTCGTGGACAATCTCTTTGGTGCAGACTCTGTAAAAGGTTATTGAGAAATGTCGATTGCACTTTCTGAGTTAGAAGGTGTGATCAAAGGTCTACGTGATATTTTAAGTACCCAACATCAAATTGCTACTATTCGTTCTCACTCTGTTGGTGTGAAACTTAGTAACAGTCTACAGCTTCCTTCATTTAATTGTGATGATGGTGATGACTGGCAGTTCTTTATTAAAGCTTGGGAGCGTGTTATTGGGTTGGCTGGTACTATTAGTGAGGGTACCAAGTTGGAGCTGCTGCATCAAAGTATTAAGGGCTCTGGTAGAAAAATTGCTGATGCCTATGTTAATGGTGTGAAAACGTCTTATCCGGGTCTCAAAGAATACCTTCGGACTACTTATGAGCTTTCTACCCAGTGTAGACGTGTTAAAGTTTTAAAGCGTTATAATGCGTTGAAACTTAATAGTCAGCCATCTTTGACCGACTTTAAGAAGTTTCAGGCTCAGTGGATTCTGGCTTGCCAACAACTCGCAGAGCTTGGCATTGGTCTGGAGGATAATAAGAAGACCTTGGACTTCTTAGAGAAGCTCCCGATTGAGATCACCCGATATGTTAATCTGCAATATAAGGAGGTCATAGAGAAGGTTGACATTGACAAGATGATTGAGGTGGTCAAAGTATACTGTGAACATACCTATGGTGATAAGGAGAATGTCGATTCAGGTCTACAAGTTGCCGGTGTTGCTAGCAATGGTTCAAAAAATAGATCATTGTGCCGTTTTCACCAGAAAGGTCATTGTAAATTTGGTGATAAGTGTCGATATCGACATGGCGGCACTGATGATAGAAGTTCTTCCAAGGATAAACTTAACTGGCGGAAGAGCCACCAGGGTAGGAAGTGCTATAATTGCCAAAAGTTTGGGCATATAGCTGCTAATTGTCCTTTGAAACAGGTCAATGATGTGCCGATTTTGACGAGTACTTCCCCGGAGATAGCTGTGGTGAATCCCAGCTCTATACCTGTGCCTCCTGTTCCTGAGTCTGGTAATGCTCTTATTGGAAGTCAAAAGACTTTGGTTGGTGACGATACAAAATCTACTACGGTTAAAGTATGGCCTACTGTAACTGCTTTATCTGATGGTACGAGTTCATATTTGCCGTGTTTCAAGATGTCAGTTGGTAGGATCTTACTGACCGCATGTGTGGACACAGGAGCTTCACGGTCGCTCCTTCCTATGGGTGTTTTTAAAAGATTGGTATCTGCTGGTGAGTTAGCTGAGGACGATGCTGAACAATTATCATCTAAAGAAATTTTTATCGGCCTCGGTCATACAGCATATGAAGCAACGACTTCAGTAAGCTACCGGTGGTTTTTCACCCTGAATCTACCAGTGGTGTTGGTGATCTTCCGAGGGCATTGATGTCGGTGCGATG